AGCTATCCGATAGGACACCGTAAACCCTGACGCGGCCTGTAGTGTTCGAGTATAGAGCACGAAGGATGTTCACATATTTCGTGGGAACACCTTTCCGCGCAAGTATTTCGAACAGAATCGATCGATCGACTGAATCGAACGCACTCTTGAAATCGAGGAACACAGCTATTGTCGGTCTGCGGTATGCGTGGCGCTGCTCTAGCACCTGCCGCAAAGTGAATATATGGTCTATACAGCCACGTCCTGGGCGGAAACCAGCCTGCTCTTCCCTAATCCGAGATTCCCGTTCCGCAGTGAGGCGACGAACGATAATCGAGGCCAATAATTTTGTCACAACTGGCGTTAGGCTAATACCCCTGTGGTTAGAACAGTCTGTGCGACTGCCCTTCTTGTATATTGCCACTATAATCGATTCGCTCCAATTAGCCGGGACGCTCTCTTCTTTCCAGATACATTCGAATAAGGAGGTCAGTGCTTTGCAGAGGACCTCACCTCCAAACCTAATAGTGCAGGTGGGAGAAAATCCGGGCCAGCAGCACGAAAACGATTGGGGGCTGTTATCGCGTTTCGGACCTCGGCCTCCGACGGAGGCTCTAAACTAACCGTCCATGGCTCGTCCTGCATCACCTGAGTAGGAAGAGGTCCGGGAGCAGCGGACCAGCTGAACTGACCTTCAAAGTTTTCAGCCCAACGAGCCATACGGTGCTCCTTATTGGGTATCAGCGCACCTGCGCTGTCTCTGATTGTCTCACTGACGCCTAGGTTTTCTGGGACCAGTGGTGCGATCAGCTGGAAAAACTTGCGGTAATTACCTACTGCTCCTGCATCCTATGTTTCTTGAGCTCTACTGGTCCCCCAGGCTTCCTTGTCCAGCACGCAGGCTCTGCTTTAGTTCACGCCTAATAGCCCGTCTGGTCACATTGTGTTCAGAGCCAGCCGGGAGGTGTCTTCTAGATTCCAACAGGTTCACCGACCTCTCGGATATCCAGTGACTGGTGCGGTGACGATTGATAGTGCCACAAGCAGATGCTCCTGCGTCGTGCATGGCGGCCGAGATCCTATTCCACTGAAGCTCAGCGTCATTAGGACAAGACTGCGGAAGTTCAGTATGCAGTGCATCTTGATAGGCTTGCCTGACCGAGGACTGAGACAATTTCTCAGTTGCCAATCGTAGGGGACGCTTGGTGCGCCTCCCGGTAAAGTTCATGGAGAAACGACAACGTACCAAGGCATGATCAGAGTCGACACAGGTACTCCAGTACGAGCGGTAATCCAGGATGGAACCACGCCATCTGTAACTTATGGCAATGTGATCAATTTGGGTCCATCGCTGGTCAGCTACAGGTGGACGCCAAGTGGCACTTCGGCGCCCACTGTGTCTAAAAGCAGTGCTACTAAGAAACAACTGGTGCTCCGCACACAGTTGCAGCAGACGCTCTCCGTTGTCAGTCCGTTCGGAGTTAAGCACACATTTACCACCCAGCTGAGCTTCTGAAGAGCTCAGACGCCCTACTTGTGCGTGCATATCCCCTGCAAGTACTATAATACCTGAACTAGTAGCACTGCGTAATAGCGCATTCAGTTCGTGATAGAATGTGTCCCTGACAGTATTTGAACTGCAGTCGGTGGGAGCATAAGCGGAAACCACAAACAAACAGCGTTTTGTAGTACTTCCTGAATCAACCTTATCTAATGTCGTCAAACGGGCTGCACATAAACGGCTGTTCACCGGAATCCAATCAACCAACGATGGCTCAGCCTTGGAGCTTAGAATGATACCTACACCAGCTTGACCTGTGAGTGCTGCATCGACGTCTCCGGATGCGTGCAACCAATAATGAGAGGAGAAGCCGGGTGCAGTTAATTCAATAATCCCGTTAGGTTCATTGATGCAAGTTTCGGAAACACAACACACATCAATACCCAATGTGTTCAAGGTGCGTGCGAGTGCAGACTGTTGACCTGTTCGTCTTAGAGTGTGAACAGTGAATGTCGCCATGAAAACAGGATAGCGTGGCCTTATAAGGGACTTTTGCCAACAGGCGTCCGATAGGTGCTGTGGGATAGTGGCTGCTGATGGTTCTAGTTCAGTGGCATTTCGGTTGCGGTCAATTAATCTGGGAATTGTAGAAGGAAGGTTAGCAATGGAGTCGGGATGGGAGTAAGAGAAAAAGATGGAAAAGAAAGAAGGGAGGCGCCAGCAGTAGCATGCTTTCGCTTATCCGCCCTGCTGTATGCAGCAGATAAGACGACGCTTGATAATCTGCGCGACGGCCGATGCAGGATGAAGTTTATGTTTTAAGAAAATGTCAAGGTTGTATAGCATAGTACAGTTTAATGGGTCAGAGGTATGCAAACCGTCGCACTACCTTAAGGTCCAGACTCGGTGCGACGGGGTTAACCATAAAGGATACTGGTAGCTGCTTTAGTTTGAAAACCAAGCGAGGATTCCTGTCCCCTGTTGAGGCGAAGGGCTTAAAGGCGCCGCTGTATGTTTTAATGAACGTGTGCAGTGAACGCCAGTTAAACCAGTTGTAGTGCCCAAACATCTAGGCATTAATTCGCCGACTGTTGGAATGGAGTAGCTCCATAGGACATCCACGAAAACAACGGGCAGGTAAAGATATAACCAGCATCCTGCACCGGTTAAAAAGTGGTATCAGCGGTACGCCGACAGGTAGTATCGAGGCTTCGATGCCGCGCGACCACCACCAGTCGCACGTGGCCTAAAGGTACTGCGAGGGTCGCCAGGTCTCACGTAGGCTCGAACCCGCGCCCTCTGATTACAAGGCAGGCTTGTGATCCTCAAGGCTACGCGCTGACAATGTTTGGAACAGTTTTATCTAGCATGTTGTGGAAGCGAACTCGATGCAGCAGTTCGAAACGTTGTTGGATGTACATTTCTCTAGTGTTAGATTCCGAGAATGAGTACTCACCGAAAATAATAAACTGTTAACAGAACAATTTCGAGACGATCCCCATGAGATGGCAGGTATAATGACCGCAGAACTAGGCGGAAACGAGTAACTCATCGTCGTCCCGAGTAGTTTCGTATCATGTGATTAAAGTGGTGTCCAGTTAAAGAAAGTGCCCAGCACTGCCCATGGTGGCATGCCATTACAGTGTGGTGCAGAGATGGTTGCAGAAAGATGTGTTCGACTGACGCTTCACAAGATTGTGAACAGACACTAATATTGACAGCTGTGAAGGAAGAGAAAATAGTAGTAAGAGCGTACTACGCAGCAACACTGCTGTGCGCAACCACCAATAGATGTACGCAGGCTATGTATACTGTCAGAACGCCCTAACGAACACAGGATCGAAAAGACGATCGGCGAACTACAAGCTACATGATGGAACTTTTGGGCCACCAGATAGGTAGTTTAATATAAGATTCGGTAAATATTGATGGAAAAACCTGCATGTTTCTTAGCGTCTCACCATATCCAGGTAAGTTAAGGAACCTTTCGCCGCAGGGGAGACTTCTGGAAGATGCAATGGGGTTGTTAAAATGCCATGGACTCTAGTGTTGACCATTCTGATGCATCACCTGTTATCAGTGTACGAAGTGTGGTGGATTCAATTGGCTTGAACAACGTCTCCAATGTATGAGTGGTAACAATAACCCAAAAGCGGTCGATAAAAGTGAAATCAGCAAACGTGAAAAATGAAAGAATGCTACTGATTTTAGACCGCCACAAGATAGGGTGCGTAACAGAAGATTCCCATAACGGATGATGAAACGTGCCCACTCCATTCAGGTTGTGGGTGGGCATACACGCGGTCATTTTTTAAAGCATCAGCAGTACGCCGGTACGCAGTAGCGACGCTTTACTGCTGGGCACACTACCAGCCGCGCGTGGGCTGTAGATAATGCAAAGGTCGCGTAGTCCCCTACGCAAGCTGGAACCCGCGCCTTCATTACAAGGCAAGTGCGTAATACTTTCGGGCACCGACCGACTAGAGTCGGGCCTTTCAGGGCAAAACAAACTGGAAATAGCTACAGCAATCTAATTTGCGGCACTGATGTTTTGCTGCCATACGACCGGAAGGGACGTCCAAATGAGGGGAAATGGCATGAGGATTAACCCGTGCTCTAAGCAAGTATTATAGATCAAGGTGCTTTCCGGGCAGCCCATGATTACAAAAGGCTAGCTAACGCGTGAACGTAAGGTGAGTGGTTGCATAGCCTCCCAGTGGCTTTCGTTACCACTGCGTAATGGAACGTTGGAGAAAAGCATAGACTGTGCCTTGTGATGCAAAGGTCACTGACTCGAATCCGTGTAGATGTGGGTGATCTCACAGCATGCCATATATGCACGTGACTGCCGCTCTTCAAGTAGCAGCGGAGCATGGGTACGATGTGCTGTGAGACTGATGATACCTTACAATCACTAACAAATGTATCAAACATAAGTTAGACGAGTAGCCAGATCAGAGGGAGGCAAATGCAAGCGGCAATGGCCACGAGTCAAAAGGTAAATAAATAATATGTAGTATTACAACATTGCATTTTGAAGGCGCAAAACGAATGTCGTAAGATATAAATACTTTGGTGGAGACTACAACGCATCGCGAAAGTCAAGCTGCAAAATGGTGCTATTATGATAACCACCATAAATCGGCGTTGCGTAAAAAGCAGTAGTTAATCCCATATTAAGAAACAGCATTATCCAAAAACCAGAGGAAAACCAATACTAGGTGGGAAAGAGCACGACAATTCGCAAAAGAACATTAAGTGATGTGATACAGCACAAAGCATACAAATGTCTACATAATTTATGACAATATGAATGGGAGTGAGCGAATCAAGTAGGAGGAAGCGACTGACATGCGGCAAATACTAGCTATAACAGCAGCGCAATAGGCTTTAAGTCACTGATTCACCTAATGGGCGGCGAAGGATAAAAAGAGACATAAGTAGTGAGGTACGAAGGTCGGAGCGTGAAGACGTGTGGGGCTTGATAGCAAATAGAGCAAGTTAGGAACGTCAAGGATACGCGATTATAACTCGGTAGCTGGTCAGGTTCTGCGAATGTAATAAGACAAAGCAGACCGACACGCCGAAAGTAGCGACCATGTGCACCGTCAGTGATAACAGAAAAGAAAAGAAGTATCGGTAATTCCTTTTGCCAATACAATTATTAAGCCATGGACAATGATGATCAAAGTTCTAAAGCGGCCGGATGATGTAAAGGGAACACCTACGTCGATACAGTGTTTACAAATGGAACAATGAGAACATCTGGGAGGACGGTACAACTCGCAAGTTACACACCACTTAAGCCGAGTTGAGATACCGTTAATTTCAACCGCTCTGTACATCACAGTTCTGGAAGCGCCCTTTTCGATAGTAGTCATTTTTTCTCCAGGAACGCCTTCAAGTAAACAAAGCACCATAGAACCTTACCTACAGGGAGGAAACCAGGGTCCATGAAGGTAGCTCGCCCAAAAGCACTGATTACGAAAAATATGATAATAGAATGAGCAGCTAACAAGGCGTAACTCGTTTGTCGGCTGAATTCCCAACAGCTAAAAAAATAAGAAAACTGAGACTTACATAAAAAACAAGTACATGGATGTCAAGGTAAGCAACAAGAACCATGCTATGAGTGCTGGACCAAGGTTCCTTGAAAAATTCTGGCAACTCATCCTCCAGGAGCAACGCGAAAAGTTGCTAAAGCTCTCATCTCCTAGACCGCAAGGGCGCTAGTAACAAGTGGTTCAAGGTCAGGTCAAGTCAGGTCAGTCTCCAAGGACGAACATTGGCTCCAGACTAAATAGCCTTGTTTCTTTTACAAGTAAGCAAACTAAGGACCCCAATACTTTGACTACCGTTAGCTAAATTTTCTGTTTTGGGAGAGCTACACGGTAACTCCAATTTTTGTCGTGCCATATTGACGGTGCTGTTTGGCTGTAAAAACGAATAAAACAGTGTTTGAATAAACACTTGAAACGAAATTTGGCAGTTGTTAACGTTCCTCCGACCCAAGGTATCCTGGCTCGCTTAATGTGGTACTGGCCAAAGCGTCTTGGTTGCTTAATGACAATTTTTCCACTTGTTCCTAGATTTCATCCCGATGTGCAACTTGTTTTTGCTTTTTTTATTGCGGTTGTTTTACGGTTGTATACGTGTTATAACCATGCTTTGTTTTCTACATGAACATGGCTGTCTCGCTAAACACCTAGGAAGTTGTACACCTGGGGTCTTCGTTTGATGAATCTAACGCAGCATGCGGAGAGTCAAGCTGTACAGACCCAGCAACAGAATTATCTGGCTGTGTGCAGAGTAAAGTCTGTCTGCGCTGGGATCACGATAGTTGTAACTGCCTATAAACAGGCCAGTACACAATGCTATCATTCATCGTTCACTTCCTTGACAGGTGTGCTAAATGCTGCACTCAGTGATCAACGCGCTCGGCTATCACAGGTGTTAAACTTTCAGCGCTGGCATCAAGGTTAGCAGGTGTTGAGAATGAGATAGCTGGGCACTAAATTATTACCTTCTTCGATGCGAAAATGGATTTGATTTTGAAATCTCATAATATTGCGATTGAAGACATTGCAACAGACGGCCACCTTGCTGACGATACATCCGCTGGGGTCTGTCACTCCGTCAAGAGGTAGCGCATCCTATGGGATACTCTAGTTATTATTGCTGACTCTCCTCGTGAGCAGGTCAAAATTAAGAAAAAGGGCGTAGAAATGCCAGAAGCCCTCTGCTAAACCTAGAGAATTATTTACCACGGCGTCGAAGCAGATGTCGTCTTATGCAGTCGAAAATTCATCTGATTCTTGTACACAGGAGAATATTCCGATGATGACCATCTCGGCTGCCACTGAACCAGCCCCATTTGACGAAGGGTTGGTAACCACCCAATGCGACACAAGGTCGACGGCCGCTGCTGCAGTGCTCCATAAGGAGAAGCGGAGCAGACCTGCCTGTAAAACTTCGGGTGTGCTTGAAGACCGCGGAACTAGTAAGAAGCAGATAATAGAACGGACTAGCCAAGTTACCGTTGCTTCGACATCGTTTGCGTAGACAGAGACAGTCCCAACCCCAGTAGTGAAAAGAGCTGGTTTAAGTGGTTAATCAAAGTTATGCGGGGTAAAAAAATCCTTGTCGTGGCGACGCTTTCCCGTATACTAGAGTTATATCCCGTAACGTTAGTGAATCTGTGGCGGCCCTCCGACGGGAACAATCTTGGATGATATCAAGTAGCTCAAACTGTGCGTCGCCATGCTGCTTCCATCTGGCTTCCCTATAATCACGGTTAGAAGGCCTACCACGTTGCGTAACGTCACTATCTGTAAGTCAAATCCGGGGTCCAAAAACTTCGCGTTTTCTTATCAACACCGCAGTGTTAATGGGGTTGGAATTCAAAACTAAAAAGCCGCAGAGTCAGCGTTTATACCGAATTGGCACTCGCAGATAGATTGAAGTTACCGGAGGATACGTAAGACATCAAACCTACACAGGCGGCTGGTGAGCACGGCCTCTGTCTGGTGGGCATTCAGCTGGCCATCCGGAAAGTCAATTTCCACCACGTCAGAACCTATCATAATGGAGTAAGACCCAGGGATGATCGTGCGTACTATCTTGTGTTATTACTCAGCAACTTGCCGAGCCTAAAAAGAAAAGAAACGAGTAGTGTCTACGAGTAGACAATCCTCGGCCCAAGATACTTGCTTTCACTGAAACGTTGCTGCCTCCGGATATCACGGACGGGGAGGTAGGTTAAACTGGCTACACCCGACTTAAAATCGATCGCTCCGTTGGCCACCATATCAGAGCCGTTGTAGGTTACGTGAACTGCAAATTAAGCACGTTGCAGAGCTGCAGGTTCCGGTCATCGGATCAGACTGGTGAAGCCCTATTGGCTGTTTTGTACGCGCACGCTACCCGATTTCGTTGTAGTGATAAACAGGAATACTGGAAGTTCTTCCAGGGGGAAGGTTGAGTTTTCCCACGCAATACGCGGATAAATGTTTATTTCTAGGGGCTTACAACCTCCTGGAGTTCTGTTGGGCTTAACTTTCTTGCAATTCAGTGTCAGAGGCATCCGGTGCAGACTCTCTGGAGCTGACTCTCTAGTGCCTTTGCACCAGTTCGTGGACTTTCTCACTAGGTATGGGGCTAACCAAATAACCTCTAGTTTAGCTCAGGTTGTTACATAATCCCGACTTCGTGTACCACAAGGGTCCAGCATTCGCGCATGCATATCGTTACGGTGTGCAAATTCAAGGCACCAACAGCCAGCTGTTTATTTATTTCCGAATATTTGACGGGCGGGCTTTAGTTCAGTGTCAGCTTAGGCATCCCTTCTGCACTGTGTCATCTCCATCACCGCCTCTGTCGAGTTAGCCTGGGAGGAAGTTAAGGCTACCGTACGGAGTTCCCTACTCCCTATACTTCACTCCTGAGGGACAGAGGGTTAGGAGCACAGCGTCCGTGAATAGATACGACAGGCAAATACCTACTCAAGTGACGGTGCAGATGCTGGCGAACCTACCAAGCGGCTCCATCGGCTAGTGCTTATGATAATTATCGAGAGACTAGAAATAACCATAGGCATGGTCTCAGGACTGCCGGTTTCCAGTGCGAACAGGGATCAGCGAACTAGGCCGCAGCTAATCCATGAAGCTTTCGCCTTCGTTAAGGGACGCAGCTTTGCGAAACCGTCTATACCAACCTTATTGCAAGCAGATGAGACCCGTGCGCAAACTGTTTATAACAAAGCTTGTATACTTAGTGATCAGTGTACTAGGGTCTTCGTTGGATTGGTTGCAAGATTTCTGGTGGATTCTTGCCTAGCGGTGTTTAACTTAACGGAGACTAACGTCTTCGAGCTATTGCAGGTTATTAATTCATCTATTAAGTCATCTCACATGCGTGTTTTTACTATCGCTTGTGAGCTGGGTCCTAACTTCTGAATGAAAGAATTTATCCTCTGCCCCATTTTTAAGTTCGGTGACAGCGCTCTGTCCGCGAACTATCGGCCTGTCAGTATGTTAAGCGTAATAGTCAAGCTATTGGCGCAGCCACTAATGGCTGCAGTGGTATACCACCTAAAGAGAGAGTAATTGCGCAACCTCGACTTCGCAATGGATTTGCAGGTCAGGCTAATTTGTAGCTCGTGCAAGCTAGACCGAAGCGGTAGACATTGGCTACGCTTTAGAAGTGTTATTCGTGGACTTATTAAAAGCGATTGACACTGTTCTTCATCTTCGACTCTCGCTATGGTTTTTTACGGGATATATGGTCGCGCCCTTAAATGGGTCTCTGCTTACCTTAAGGGTAGGGAACAGTGCGTACGGGTGGGGCGTAAAATTTTGCTCCGGCAAGCTGTCCTTAGTGGCGTGCCGCGGGCCTCAGTACTGGATCCATTTTCGTTCGCGAGCTATGTAAATAACCAACCCGTGTGAGCTATGAGTGTCATCTCTAAGATTTGTCGACGAATTTAAGTTCTGAAATATCGTGGAAAGCCCGGGGATCACTGGGCAATTATGCGTGCCTTGGATAGACTCTGGGAATGACCCACCTTAGGGTTGATGCCCTTAAATAGGGTCAAGTGCTCTGTGCTCCCTATCGGAACGGATAATCCTCCCGCCCGGTATTTGGTGGGCGGTGGTGAACTCCCTATTATCACGCAGCAGGTAAGCTTAGGGGTAGTAAACTCATCAGCAGTTCATTCCGAGGTCGATTAGAAGAAGACTGCTGGTCGGGGTTTCGTAATATGTGTTTTATCCGCCGAGCTTTCAGAGTCCTAATGGTCAATTTGTTTGTGGAACTGCTTTCGGCGTTCGTCCGACACCACCTGGAATATTGTATCCAAGCCTGCTCACTATGTCTTAAGCGAGATAAAATTGACATGGGAGGGATATACTCAATGCACTACCGAAGGATAAGAGATGACTTGATTCTCACATAGCGTATTTTGACGGGGGAGGTCGGCCCATACTTAGCGAGGCTGCTTATTCTCAATAAGTAAACTAATCTCCGCGGTCACCCACAAATCTGCATAAAACACGGCCTGAAAGGATTTGGACAGAGCTTGTCGGTCGCGCCTAGTTATAGACCGATAGAAGTCGTTTCCAGATACATCGATAGTAACCCAAGGGGTAAGGGATTGGTGTGTTAGCTAGATGATATTAGATGGCGACAACCAACCACTCCTTTTCCTAACTGATCCACCTTCACTTTGCAGTTCATTTTTAATTGCCTCAAACATCTAAGTTTTCTCGTTGCTGGGCTCCTTCAAATTCTATTTTGTCTTCTGCGTTTAATTTTTTCTCTGTCTTAGTTTACATAACGGAGCTGGCAAGGACCGCCAAGATGGGATACGTGGGCACTAATGAGTTGAACACGTCGTGACGCGATTTTGTTTTACGTTCATTAATATTTCAATATCTGCCCACTCCTGTTCCAAAGACCCTCTAAAGAGGAACCGTCATGGGATAATCCTATCGTCCCATCCGCGCTTGAACCTGAAACGTAAGACAAGAAGCTAGACAACAGATACCTTGGTACTACCTTGGATAATAGTTCTCTATGTCTGCAATACTGGCCAAGCAATTTGCAATAATTTCGGCATAAGTTATGGTCGTTTCACGTTTTACGAAATATTGTGGTTTAGAACGACATTAATCATTTACTTATGTAGCTAAAATTCATTAAACCTGAACTTTAATCTTCGAGGTTGTATTATGTACAAATAAATCGAGCAGGTTCCACTGAGGCACACGAACTCAAAGCATATCAGGTCAGACCACAAGG